TTGTAATGTTTTGAACAACTAATAAAAAAAAGAAAGTAAGCAGATTTTAACATACACAACAGTAGCTTTCTCTCTCTCTCTCTCTCTCTCTCGCTCTCTCTCTCTCTCTCTCTCTCTCTCTCTCTCTCTCTCTCTCTCTCTTAGGAGGGAAATACTTGGCATTATAACTGCAGCACATATGAGTGTGTTAAGACTGAAGAAGGAGCAATGATTCTGAACTACAGTATGGTCTGTCCCCCTTTTAATGAGACCGAATGCAAAATGGTTGGTACTTTGTTATTTCTAAGAAAACTCTGTATTAACTATAATTTAAAAATATCTGAGGTCATACTTATATTGTGGTGTATATTTTATAGTGCATGCTTTATTTTTTTGCCTAAATAAAAGTTCTATTTTATTTCCTTAGTTTGCTATTTTAAGTTCTATATGGTGATCCAGATTTGAGTCTCTGAATGGACACTTTGCTATCCCTGGGTTTTCATGTGTAGTCAAAAGATTATTGAAAAGTCCTATGCTCAGCAAACCTAGCCCTCCTTGTAATATAGATTCATAATTGAGTTTAGCCATTTTTTTCGTAGCCAAATGGCCAGATTCATGATGTCATTCACTTTTTTTTGGTATGGAGATTGAACCCAGATGCACTTAACCACTGAACCACATATTCAGCTTTTTAAAATTTTTTATTTTGAGACAAAGCAAGTTGGTGAGACTTGCTTTGAACTTGTGATCCTCTTGCCTTGGCCTCCCAAGTTTCTGGTATTAAAGTAGTGTGCCACAGTGCCTGGCTCATTTCACTTTTTATTACATGCTGGCCTACGTGACACTTGCCTTAGGTTCTTTGAGCACAAGCCACTGGAGGACTTAGTGTAGCATTGTTGGTTCTTTACCTTTGCCTTTCAAATTATCTATTCTCTCAGAGAAGAGTCTATTGAGAGAATGGATTTTAAAAACTAATATAAATTTTATTTTAAAAGATTTTTTTATGTTTTTTTTTAAAGAGAGAGAATTTTTAATATTTATTTTTTAGTTTTCGGCGGACACAATATCTTTGTTTTGTATGTGGGGTTGAGGATGAAACCTGGGCTGCATGCATGCCAGGAGAGTGCACTACCACTTGAGCCACATCCCCAGCCCGCTTTTTTTTATGTTTTTAATTATTTAGGCAATAATTATCCATAATTAAAAGTGAAATTCATTCCGTTTTATAGAAAAATAACATAGTTCCATTGATTATTTTTCTAAGAAACACCCTTTTACTGCTGATGGCTGGTCAACTAACTTTAACATGGACTGAAGTCACAGAATTAAAGCACTGGAATTAAACTTAGGCATCATCGTATTTCACAGACTCATTTTTAAAGAATAAATTGCTCTTTTATTTGAGTTACAATTAGAATTTAAGTAAAAGCAATTAGTAATTACTATGAAAATTATAAAAGCTAATCAATAAGATTTTGTTAATTGAGCCTTCCACAAGAGCCTTACATAAGGAATGGAATTTTTATGAATAATAAGATATTAAAGAAAAAGATATGGTATTTGACAATTATATTGATAAACTCAATTTAGTCTAAAAGGTTAGTTTAGATTGGAGGAGTTGAAAAAATATAATAACATCTATTTTTTATCTGTTATTATTTTTCTTTGGTAAAAATATTTTGAAGTGTTTGAAACATTTTTTTTAAGAAGCATGTTTTTTTGCATTATTTTACACATTATTAATGTAGAAATAATATGCTTTTAAACAAAATATCTGCTCCTAAGAAATTCTTATTAGAAACAGTTAAATTCCAATAACTTTTAAATAAAGGCTTTGTGATATTTGATTAAAAAAATTGTGAAGAGTTAAGTTTCCAATTTCTGGTCTAGGAAGAAATACATAAACTGTATTTTTTTTACTTTTTCTCTTTTCCTAGAATGAAGGACATGTAAAGCTTTATAATGAAGGCTGTTGCAAGATCTGTAAGTGAAGACATATTACATGCAATAACTTGATAGATTAGTTTTAATTGCTCACGGTGATTGTGGTTTTCTCATAGGATTCGATTCCTATGTTACAGAGGAAAACAGATTTTATAAAGTACATTATTTCAACCACATTATCATGTGGTTGATAACTTTTTAATTTAATATTTATCTTCTGCAGTTTATATACAATGTTTTTAATTTAGATAAATTTTAATTTTATCATTAGAAATTTCTTTATTATGGAATCTCCCAAAAGGGATTGCATAGGATTTTAATAGATTTTAAATTTATGAGTGCATCATGGTCAAATTTTCTTGGAACATTCTGAACTATATAAAGTTAAACAGGTAATGGTGAGAATGGCCTTGAGACTGCAGTAAGGACACAAATAGTACAATGTATTCCAGATGTATTTGAACATGTCTGTGGTTCTATACTTTTGGGAAATATCATTTTAGTGAAGTGTATTTAAATCGTACATATAAAAGTTCCCATGATTATATTGATAATAAAGTTATGTGATATATTTTATGTTTGTTTGAATTATAGTGATTTTGTATATTCTAAGGACTAAAATAGAATAGAGGCATATCCATGCAACTATTTTTATTTTTTTAAAAAGTATTTATGAATTTTTGTCAATATAAAAATGGAAGGTCTTAGAAAATTGCGATAGTAATTTAAAAGTTGCTGAGGATGCTTTGAGGAAAAGGGCAAAAGAGTTCAGGTTAATAATGTCATTATTAACATTCTTAGATAATGTTATGGATTCTTAGATACAAATTGGCTGGATACTTAGATACAAATTGTCATGCTTCTCAAATGAAATTTCTGAATTTCAGGAAGCAGTAAATCCCATAAATATGTAAGAGTAGTCTTACCTATTCAGAGCTGTACAGTCTTACTGAAGAGACTGTTAAAATGCATTAAAATAATGTTGCAACAGAGCTATAATATACACCATGGAACATAATAATAATTTAAAATTAGAAACTCTCTTAAATTTTCTGCACAGTATTTATTCCTTATGAAAATTCAATAAAATAGGTTTTAAAATTATCCTGAAGTTCAGCTCAGAGATTTAAGTAACTTGTTCTTATTATCAAACTTCTGTGACTGAGGAGGTGCTGAACTATATATGACCAAGTTGTATTTGCATGGTGTCTGAAAAGCCAAATTCAACACGCATATATATATATAAAAGCAAATAGTCCAACATAAAATGGATTGATGACTAACTTGTCATTGGATTAATTTCTACAGCAGCTGTGTGACAAAGTACTGCAAAGTGGTGGCTTAAACTAGAGAAATTCATTGCTTCACAGATTTGGAGGCTAGAAGTCTAAAACCAAGATGTTGGCAGGGAGGCTTTCTAATTGGGGCTGTGAGGGGAAGGGTCTGTCTCCTTGCATTGTAGATGGCTGTCTCTGTGTTTACATGAGACATGTCTCCTCATGTGACTGTCTCCAAATTTCTTTCTTTAAGGACAGCAGTCATATTAATTAAAGCTCACTAATGATCTCATTTTCACTTGATGACCTCTGTAAAGACCTTGTGTCCAAATGAAGTCACATTCTAAAATTCTAAGGGGCATAGGAATTTTGGGAGGACAAAGATCAGCTGATAAGAGTTACATTGCTTGGACATTGAGGATAGCATAAAATCACTTATGTATTTTTAATTACTGGAGATCTTAGACACACACTAATTATTTTTTTCTATTCATTAGAAATAGCTATTTTTCATTCAGTGTTTGCTGAATCAAATGAAAACTAATGTGTATCAAATAGCTATGTATCATGAACTCAAGGAATAAAATTTTACTGTAAAATCTGGAGAGGTTTATATCTTATTTCTCTTCTACTTCCTCCATGTCTAAACTCTTAGGGATAAGACAAAGGCACAAAGAGAGGCATGTTATAATGTGAGGCCCTGGTTTTCATAATCCTATGTTAGTTATTAGAGAAGTGAGCATGTTTATTTTATATGAGGGCAGACAGGGGAATTGATGTGACTAATCTAATGAACAACCATTTATCTGCCTCACATTGACACTCCTAAATCCATTACAGATAAGACCATAGTTAATCTTTTCAGTCTTCTGGGAGGTAAGGATGGTCCCTCTACAGGTGAGAAAATGAAAGTTCACAGAAGTTGATCTCCTTAGTAATGGCTTTAGACCTGTCCAATGCCTGGACCCAAGATCTTTCAACTCTACCTGGCTCTTAAAATTTATAGATCAATAATAATCCATATTGGTTTTCTCATTTGATATGTAAGGAGTTGTGAAGTAGTTCTGTTTTGGCTTTAGAGAACCTGGTCTGTGGTCTGTGCTTTTGGATGAACAGACTGTGTTGGAGAAATTATGGAGGTTGGATATTATAGCAGATGCTGTTTCACAAAATCAGTCACAGTAAGGTCTCTGAGGAATGAATAGGAAATGTGTCTTAGTACAAACAGACTCTGGTAACAATGAATTAATGCTGTCCCAGTTTCATTTGTTGAATGAATTTATCAAACAGGTTTGTATTGAGCCCCTACATGTGCCAGACACCCTTTTAGGCACTGGGACTGTAATAATGAATGAAATAATATCTGCATGGATAGTACATATTACCAAGAAAAGGGGAAAAACAACATTAAATGCACACATATATACTAATGTGTAAAGTAGTGATGAGTGGTCTAAAGAAAAATAGCACCAGCCGGGCACAGAGGCGCAATCTGTAATCCCAGTGGCTCTGGAGGTAGAGGTTGGAGAATTGTGAGTTCAAAGACAGCCTCAGCAAAAGTGATGTGCTAAGGAACTCAGTGAGACCCTGTCTCTAACTAAAAAAATACAAAATAGGGCTAGGGATGTGGCTCTGTAGTTGAGAGCCCCTGAGTTGGATACCTGGTACCCTGCCCCCACCCACCCCCAAAAGAAAAATAGCACCAAATAGAAGAGATGGAGAATAAGAGTAGTTGGGTTGCTAATTTTAATAGGGGCTTAGAAATTGCGTGTTTAATGAGATGTCATTTGAGTAGAGACTGAGTTTCCTAAGGGAAACATACAAACAATGAAGAGTTCAAAGCAGAGGAAATAGCAAAGCATGGCTACAACACAGAGTGAAGGAAGGAGAGGGATAGACAAAAGAGGGTAAGGTAAAACTTTTAGGTCATGGTAAAGATGATTTCTTTCTTGCAGGAGATTAGGAGGGCTAATAAAGTAATTACTGATGAAAGCACTTCAAGACACAAAATAATCTGTGCTCTGCCAACAACACTGAGCCTTGGGCCTTGCTGAAGTAGAGCAGTCAGGGAAGAGGAAGGATCAGCATAGGAGACTGATGAGGAGCAAAGTGAATTAAGGAGGATAGAGTGATGGACTGGATCTGATGCTGTCAAGAAGTGATGAGGACTGAGATGTGGCTTTGAATTCAGCAATTTGGAGGTAGTGGGTGATCTTGACAAGGATAGGGTAATTCCAAACAGTCTTAGCTACTCATGTCTCTTTCAACCAGAGTGGTTTAATCTGGGTCTACTCTATATGATGGGATTTCACGTAAGCTTTTATTTCAGATGAAGACTTCGTGACTAAACTCATTTGAAAATTGGTAATATAATTCCATCCTTTTGCAAATAAGGAAACTCACCAGAATGATTCAGTGACTTTCCTAAACTGGCAGAGAAATTTAGTAACAAGTGAAGTGAGAATCCTGGACCTTTACAACCTAATTCAGGAGTTATATCCACTACCATACAATATTAAATATACGTTTATGGTGCATAATCTAGTGACAATCTGTCGTACACAAATGTACCATGAATGATTACAAAATATTTTCACTTAAAATCCTAAAAGATCATCACAAAGCCATAAAATCAAGGATGACTCATCCATACATTTGAGTATGATTGATAAATAATTCATTGCATTTTTGCATTATTTTATGTTAATATTTGCTAAGATAAAGTGGCTTTAAATCTCTTAATTTGTATTTTAAAATTGATGTGTAAATGTGTTTATGCATTATTTATATATATACTTATTCATATCATGGCTCATTCCCAAATTAATTTATATGTACACATATAGTACAATATAGGTTCATTTAGCATTATTATATGTGCGAGATAGTTTTGATTTATGATAATGATGCCTATTATAAACCAAGAACTTTAAAAGTAGAAATAAGTAAGTATAAAGCTAGAAAATCTAAGAATTTATTTAGAAAGTAAAAATAAATATTGGAGTTTTAAATTTTAAATTATTCATTTAGTTAACTAAATTAATGTGCAAATAAAATTTTAAATATCTTTTAATATTGGAATATATTTTATATAAATATCTAAAATTTCAAATTTAAATATATTTATGTTTAATTAAATTAAGAAACAATTTTACATGGCCCTTTTATGAAATGTGTTCTGTATTTTATTAGGCAAACGAGAAGAAAGAATATGCCAGAAAGTGACGATTAAATCAGTCATAAGGAAACAGGACTGTGTAAGCCAAAGCTCTGTAAGTGGAAAATATCGTTTGTTACACAAAGAACGTGTGCTTTTCTAGAAGCATATGTGTCACTAACCCATAGCAGTAACAAATTTGTATGCCAATAAAAAATGCCAATATACAATGTTCAAGTTTAAGAGAATTCTTATATTCAAATATTAAATATTCTCTTTGTGAAGAAGTATGACTTATTCTTAGTATAAATAATCAAGAGCTCTAAAAGATAATTGCAATCCAGAGAGGTAGGAATTAAATCCAAATATATTTGACCACATGTTGTCTTAACTATGCAATTTTACTCAATGAAAATAGTTATAGTCATGTCTGCCCCCTTTCGAATGACTCAATTTAATGTCCTATTTGAGTCATGACATAACGCAAGTGACAAGAGAATGATTAGATTGTGATTAGCATATCCCACACATCCATCTAGATACGTTTGCACACTTGATGCTTTGGGTTTTTGTCAGTGTTGCTATTTTGGGCATCATTATGGAAAGGCTCTTGACTTCCATGAGTTTCAATGTTGTATTTTCCACAATTTTTTTTTTAACATGCAGGAAATTGAGGGTTAAAGTGATAAGGAAGAAAGCCTTGCTTTCATCTGACTTCTTATGGAACATAATAATAGTCAGTGTTTTTTAATTTTTAAGATAATTTTCCTTATTATATCTCCTTACAGATAAATGTTGCATCATGTGATGGAAAATGCCCATCTGCTACCATATATAACATCAACGTTGAAAGTCACCTAAGATTCTGCAAATGTTGTCGTGAAAATGGAGTACGAAACTTGACTGTGCCTCTGTATTGCTCAGGAAATGGCACTGAAATCATGTACACTCTCCAGGAACCTATAGACTGCACATGCCAGTGGAATTAAAATCTTGGATTCCAAGAACTCTGTACATCATAATGTCAAATTCAGTTAAATTTTATGACCATTATTTAGGCACTTGGCAGACTTACACTGTTTGACAATAATGTGTTTTTAAGACTACTGGGATTTGATGATTTTATAGTTGGTACAAAATATATACAGCTCCAAGGGCAAAAATCAGATTTATTAGATTTATTGCTTCATTTTAGAGAATCAAATGATCATAAATTGTTCAGTTGAAATGCTATTATGTTTAACTGCAGCACAGCACAAATCTGGAATGGTCCCATTAAATAGAAGGCTATTTTGCAGAATTCCTTCAATTTCACTCACGAGTTTTTTTTTGTTTTTGTTTTAATTTGTCGTTTTCCAAACCTATACAGATTAAGATATCTTGTAATTTCTACTGTTTTGTTTGATAAATGTGAGCAGTTAAATTGGCAGCTAGATAACCATAGAGAATTGTGTATTTAGAGACAGATTATAAAGCTATAGGATTTTAGGTTACTAAAGTGAATATTAGGGATTTTATTGCAAAGTCCTCTCGTTTTGCAGGTGTAACTGATACCTAGAGAAGACTTAAGACTGGTGCAAATCCATTCAGCATAACAATGTGCAGAATTCATGTTAACAGCTGGATTAAGTTCTAGGCCTCTTATTGTATCATATGTTCTTTTATTTTGAACAGCTTAGTAAGGTGTCTAAATCCAGAATCTTTAATTCTTAAGGAGTTTTCATTGGACATAATTAAAAATTTTAAGTTCAATATGTTTATAAAAATGCCACATATACATTAATAGTTATCTCAGTAGTAAGGAGCAGGGAAATAGAGCATCATTTTCTTAATAGAAGAAGTATATCTTTAGCTTTTATTTTTTTGTACCATTAAAACTGCTATTAAAGTTGTTACTAGTTAACATTTAGTTAGATAATTACTGTATCACTGACATCTGATTTTTAAGATGTATTTGCATACTATTGAAACTGAATGCTATTTTGCCATTAATGCTGCTGCTTTGCCAACAAAGAGAGAATTGAAACTAACTGAATGTATTAATAATTTTACAATGGGATGGTACACTTTTTAATACAGTAGATAATTGACATTTGCAAGGCATATATCCTGAAGTCTTTGCCAGTTCACAAATTCTTTGCCACCTAGAGCACACAGTTATCTCAGTTTCTTCCTCAGTAAAGAAAGGAGTACTTACTTAGTGTGAGGGGCAAAGGATGTCCAGCATCAATAAGAGAACACTAAAATGACAGTGAGAAGCAAATGCTTGAGTCTAATAAGCTAGGCTCAGGCTTGAGGGAGATGATTTGCTTTCACATACTAATGTTTCCACTTCACAATCATGCTTCCCAGAAACACTGCAATTTATCTTGGATCTCCATGGTTACTTAGAAATTGATAAAAGGATTAATATTGCATCTGCAAAGTCCCTGCATCTACTGTGTATAAAAATGATTTATCTTGTTTAATATAAATGTTTTCTGTAGACATAAAACATCTCAATCTCTTTGATTTTTATTAACATATTGATTGAAATAAATGTTTTTTTAAAAAAATATTAACATTGTACTTAAGAGAAAGTGTTATGTACCTCAAATAGAAGTGTGTAATGTTGTACATTACCTATTGCCCATTTCCAATCTGTGAAATATTTGTTATTAAATTAAAAATATTAAATGATCTTTAAATATATTTGTGGGGAAAAGGGAAAAATTCTTTTAGAACTTTGTGAATATTCACCAAATATAACAAATAACAATTAAGGCTCTTTCATGTTACCGGCACTATTTTAAACTCTGGGAACACAGGCCAACAAAATGAACATAGCCCTCACCTTCATTAACTTAGAGTATAGGGAGAAAGCATACCTTAACCAGCTGTACATATGTGGAAGTTCAAATGGGGACCCCAAAACTTATTGGAATGTAGTATAAGCTAAAGGAGCCCTCAAATCAGCAGAATGGCATAAGTGAGCTTTCTATAAATGGTGTTGAAACAACAGGATAGTCACTGGGACAGAGAAATTTGGATTTATACATTCACTGACATTGGGATAAACTCTAAATAAATCAGTAATTCAAATGTTCCAAAACAACAGGACATAAGTTCTAAAACAGTTATAAGATTCGCTATAACCTTAGATGGAAAGGGCTGTTCTCATTCTGACTCAATATCTAGAAGGCTAAAAGAAAAGATAAACAAATTTAATAAGAAAATTGGAAACAAGCAAAGTCTTCATGGCAAAAAAAAAAAAAAAGTAAAACCAAAGAGACCGTATTTGCAATGTGTCACTGACAAAGTCTAGTATTCCTACATGGAAAGAGTTCCTGATAAAAATCACAAAAGGGAATAATTGATGAGAAAAACTTGTCATATACTAATAGTTCCAAGAAAAAATAAATAATACTAGTAGACCCTTTAAGAACAACAACAACAACAAGAAGAAAGCACACTTTTAATAAAAGCACTTCACATTTAATCTACACTGAAATACAGTTTGTCTCCTACTGGACTGCTAAAAATGCAGAAGTTTAATAATATTATATTTTAAGATACTGGGAAAACAGGCTCTCTCATATGTCTTTGCTGATGACACAAAATCATAGAAATCTTAAGGAAGACCTAGTGATATATATACTAATATTAGAGGGATGTTGTGTTTTGATCAAACTATCTAGGATGTACATTCTAGACAAGCACCTGTACAAACACAAAATGGCACTTTTGCAAGGTTACTAATTGCAGCATTGTTTGTATTGAAAAAGACTGAAACTAACCATCAGAGGTGGAATAAGCTGTTAATTCATACAATGTAACATGATGCAACTGTGAGAAAGAATGAAGAAAATTTATATACTGACGAGAGTCAATCTCTAGAATATAGTTTTAATTGGAAAGACATACTATAGAAATATTGAACAGCAAAAACAAAAAATAACAAACCAAAAAAAACCATGTAGAACACTAGGTTTTGTTAAAAGAAATAGGGGTCCAAATAAGAGAATGCAATCCTATTTACTTCATATTTACATGGGGCAGTAAACAATGGGCTATATGGCACAAATAAATAGTGGAGAGGGATCAGGGCAGATGGAGACTGGAATGGAAACAAGGCTTTGCCATGTGGACCTTAATATAACTTTTTAACTTATAAACTATGAATACATCACATATTCTAAATATTTAAATTAAATATAGAGTAAGCAGATACTAATATAAAGAAGTAAACAATCTGAAGTTCTTTTATAATGGATTCTGTTACATTTCTCAGCAAAGGCATGTATTTCACTGTGATTTTCTATTTATTTTATTTTATTTTTTGTGCTAGACCATGTACTTACTTTGGACGGTGTCACTACTTTTTGTATTCCTAGTGCCTTGCACATAATAGTTGTGCAACAAAGCACCACAATTGTACATATTTATGGGGTATAGTACAAATTTGATTCATGTATATAATGTACAATGATCAAATCAGAGAATAATTAGCATTTCTGTCTTCTCAGACATTGAACTATTGGACTTTTTAAATTATTTTTAAATATAGTATAAATTGTAAACTATAGTTACCTTACTGTGCAATAGAACACCAGAATGAATACCTCCTATCTAACTATATTTTGGTATTTGTTATCTAACCACTTTCCATTCCCATCCCCCTCTTTACCTTTCTCATTCTCTATGGAACACTGTTCCAACTCTACTTCTCTGAGATCAGGTTTTTTAAAAAAAAATAAAAAAAATTATTTTTAGCTTCCACAAATGAGTAAGAACATGTGGTATTTATCTTTTTTGCCTGAGATATTTCACTTAACACGATGAACAATTCTAAATTCTGACAAATTCTATGTATTTGGGTAGAGGTTGTGATGAGAAAATGACAGCAAAATCTACTTTAGACTGAGTGGACAGTACCGGGGAGCCTCCAAAGTGAGCCATACATAGGACAAGTAGAGTCAACCAAGAAAGCATTTTTCAGCAGAGAACAGCACACACTAAGGACTTGTGGGAGGGCAGAAACAGGTAAAGCAGGGAATCGATAGACAGTGAAGTGTTTTTGTGCATTTTGGAGTAATTAGAGTGGGGCATGTATTGTAGAAGATGTGGCTACGATGTAATGCAGATCCAAATAAATGCAGAGAGATAGGTAACATGCCATTGTTGTAGAAAAGGTGAGAAATGGTAGTGAGTACTGATAGAATAAGTAGTATTCAAGATATATTTTGGAGGTAAAGACAAAAGTCCTTGGCAATCATTGTGGTGAAAAACAAAAACAAAAACAAAAACAAAAAAACCCCAAACCGTTTTGAGAATATCTCTGCATTTGATGAGCAGATGGGTGGATGGAGAATGAAAACCTTGGAGAGAAAGGAACATTTTTGGGGATAAGAGGAAAGATCTAGAATTCAATTCTGGTCATGTTGATATGGCATTTAGACGACTGAATGGATTATTAGAACTTGGCCTTTTCTTTAGTTCTGGTAGCAAGAAGAGACGACCATAAGAAATATCTAGAGGATTTGGTAAAACAGAAATAGCGTAATGCTACAAGAATGAAGTTAGATAGCATGAGAGTACAGTGAAAGAAAACAGGACGCATGATTAAGGACAGAAGACATTTAGAGGTCATTTTGGAAAGAACAGTTAAGGAAGGAGTCTGGGAAAGAATGGTCAGAGAGGTTGAAATAGAGTTTGAAACCTTGATGGGGTTCACAGAAACTCTGGGAACACAAGATTATACAAGGGAATGGAGAAGGAGTGCTAATGAGGAGTCACTGAATTTATAGAGGTAGAGCTCACTGGTATTATTTTTTATGGACAAAAGCCATACTGAGGAGGTATGATGGTGTTTGGTGCTTGATATGTCAGACTCCTTTTGTGCTGCTCTCCTGCTGTCCTCGTTCACAGATTACTTCAGGCGCATGCGCCCTTCTCCCAGCTGATGGTGTGGACCTGCCGCGCATGCGCTTTCACGGAAGCTTGCCTACCGAGCTGAGGCACTAAGTCAGCAGGCCTGGCGGAGACCTGGACTTCAGTGACTCACCTTCTGTGATCTCAGTCCCAGTCTTTTTCTTCTTATTATTCTTTTTTAATATTTTTTTTTGAAGTAGTTGGACACAATACCTTTATTTTGTTTATTTGTTTTTATGTGGTGCTGAGGATCGAACCCAGGGCCTCGCACGTGCTAGACGAGCTCTCTACTGCTGAACCACAACTCCAGCCCCCGCGCCCAGTCCTCTTGTGTGGAGGAAGGACTCTTTCCTTCCGGCTTACCCGCTATAGGAGCTCTGGCCTCTCGCACCGCCTCTGGGCCTGGAAGAAACACCCTCAGGAACCGTGGGAAGCATCCTGGAACAGAGGAGGTGAACTCTGGCCCAGAGTGGCAGGCCCAGGAGCCAGCAGGTGAATGGCTCCCTCTCGCTGCTCTTCTCACTCCTCTCCACTGCTCCAAGGGCTTGTGGTTCCGTTTGGCCTTTCAAGAAGTTTGTGTTCCATGGGTCTGTGATCTGCTAACAGTGTGACTTGTGTTCAGTTTGTTTGTCCCCTACCTCACCTCTCTTCCCTCAAATCAGTTTCTCCCAGAATCCACCCCACTTCAGTAAGTGACAGCTGTCTACACCATGTGTAGTGTGTACACACACACACACACACACACACACACTTTCATGTATTTCTTGATAGGCTCAGAACAATGATGAGACACCTTTTTTAGCTTATTCAATCAACAAAGACTTAACTGGTAATTATGCCATGTGGGGAAGAAGAGTGAAAAACAAACTCTTATGTACTGTGGGTAAGAGAAAAAATAATGTAACCATGTAAACAACTGCCTTTTTAGTTAATTTTGCCTTTCTCCCCATCTGTCTTGATCTTGACTGTTTCCATAATTTTTAAATTCTTAAAAACTTCAGTTTTATTAGCTTTTTATGCAGCAGAGATCTATGCTCTATAGTGTTTCATTAAGTGAATATAAAACTAAACCAGTCTGTCAATGGATATTTATTTATTTCTATTTTTTTCCTATTATAAATCCTTCAGCATAAAGTGGAATTGAAGGATTAAATAGCATTGTCATTTGAAAATTTTCTATCCATTTTGTCAAATTTGGCTTCTACAACTGCTGAATTCACTTTTTTACTTGCACAAACAGTATTTAAGAGTTTGCTTCCTTTATCATAATCAACACTAGATAGGAACAGATAAATTGCTTGATACAGTAAGCAAAAGATGTCAGTTTGTAGGTATTAGTATATTAGAGTTTGCCACAGTGTTCAAACCTTGATGTCTATTAGGATGTTTCTAAATCTCTTCACACAATTCTTATCTAACAATAGATAATATATTTTTTCTATTACCAGTATGTTTTTATTAGATATGCTTTCATTTTATTTAGTCTGATTTTATGTTTAGGAGTATTAATCATGTTTATATATTTTTATAGCTATGATATTTTCTGTCACTTTTGTCATCTCTCTTTTTCTC